ATGCTGCTGGTCCACATGCCACACTCTGAGCACCATAGATATAGCACCTGCTGTTGGCCAGTCACCGTTCAAAGTGCTTTACATGTATTAACTCCATTAGTCCTCACAAGAATTCTATGAAGTATATAACCATTATTTCCTTTTTTATGGACAGAAAAACTAAGGCACAAAAGGTAAGGTGAGCTGCCCAATGTCACACAGCTGGTGTGGAACTGGACGACTCAGGAAGATTGCCCTGGATCTGTATGAGTCACCGAATAGGTTTGGTAGACTCTGGATGGACAGGTGGGGAAACACATTTCAAGTGGAGAAAATGTCAAGCAAAGGCTTGGCAAGATGGGCCATTTGGACGTGTTCGAAACTAAAAGCAAGGCCAGGTGACTCTTATAGGACACTCTGGACTGGGATAAAGCCTGGAGAGGATCAGAAGAAGGCAGCAGGCATTGCATCACAAAGGACTTTGTTTTATAGGTAAAACTCGTCTTACCTTCTCCTGCAGATTACAGGAGCCACAGGAGGACTCAGGCAAAGAGGAGCAGAATTCAGTTCATGCTTTTTTTTTTTTTTTTGAAGATAAAAGCTCTTACAGAGGTATTATAGGTCTCAATCAAAAAGTAAAGAATCATTTTGTAGAAAGGTCTTGAGGCTTTCCTAATTCCCTGAAACCACACAAGCTGGTCCTTTTGACTTGGAAGCTAAACTTCGAAGACGGAAAGTCCATGCAGGATGGAGAGGCATGACGCCAGTTACTAGACCTGTCTGGGGTCCTCGGTGCAGTGGTGGCTCTTTCGTGCCATCGACTTCTTTAGGTGTAATGGGGGGTGGGTATGGCAAAGGCTTATCATTTCTCCATCGCTGGAGTGGGGAAAAGAGGGAGAGAGACCGTCCAGGCTTTCACAACTCACTCCTGCATGTTCCATTATTTTATAGAATTGATTCTAGAACATCTATTCTGAGGAAAATGCTAGAAATGAATATGCTATTCCTGTATATCAGTTTTACCCTTTGTTGATATTAAACGACTTAGTCACTTTGTAGGGGAAACAAAGAGATTGATTCATGGTGATGTGACCCTCTTGTCACTTCTGGTTCCTTTTTTCCTGCTATATATCAAGACTCCCAGCCCCTGGGAAGTGCATTTCTGCAAAGAAGAACCTGCAAGAAATCTGTAAGTAAACTTTCAGAATAATCTTATTTCTAAAATTGCTTTTTTAAAAAAGTGTTAGTAAATTGGAATGAACAGTTGCCACCAGAGAATACCTTAAGGCCCCCTCTTCTATCCCCAACAGCCTACCCAGGTATAGAAATACCAGAAGGAAAGATTTTTGATGCTGGTGTCTGACTATTTTCATCTCAGGGCAGGCTGCTGCGGGAAAACTGCCTCGCTGGAGTCGCTGTGTGGACCTGCTCCATTCTCCCGCTTTTGAAGAATGAATCCCCTTAGCAAGTCTCCCGGCGGTGGCTGGCACGCACAACCACGGCCTGAATTGTTCTGTAAACGCTATTCTGTTCACCCGGTAGCTTTCATTAATCTTTCCTTTCTTGTGTGAAGGTGGCTTTCACAGGGGAGGGCATCTGCTGCTTTCCCACGGCAAGAACGATCAGAACAAAGTTATGAGGAATTCGCTCCACTTCAAATGGAGGCCTCGGCTCCTGCTTGAGCTATTTTGGCAGCCTGAGAGAACAATATGTTCTCAACCAAATTATAAGTTTGCAAGAGCTTAAAAGAAATGAAAGAAAGAACAAGTGAAAAGGAAAAGAATCCCTCCATTCTTCTTCTGTCGCACTCACAGGTGCGGGGCTGCGCTGTTCTGTGCCGGGCGCGAGTGGAGAACGCCGACGCCCGGGCCGGCTCTGCCGCTCTTCTCCGCACCTCTCAGGCCGGGGACTGTCGGGCCAGTGGGGACCTTAGAACTCAGCTAGCCCAGGGGAGTGGCGGTCTGAGAGGTGAAGTGGCCTAGCCAAGGTCAGGCGGCCTGTCTCCCTGCCTGCTGTGGTTTTCCTATTCTGCGCTGTCCTTTGTTCAGATTCCCTTTAATGTGAGAGTCACAGGAGCCATGAAGGCAGCGAGGGAGGCTGACGCGCTCAGACTGGGTTCCCGCAGGGGCCTAGCAGAGCTGGCTGGAGGCGCATAGAAAGTAGAGCGATTGTCCGTTTGGGTTTATTTGTCCCCAGGGTGTCTGCAGACTGTATCTGAGCTTGTTGTGCATAAGCCATTGGTTTCTGCACAGGAGCCGGTCGGAATGAGCTGGTTTCACTTAATGGAAATTGCAAGATGTCAGATGAGGAGAGGGTTCTGCAAGTGGGGACAAAGGGGAGCCCTGGGACAGCTCCCAAGGTCATCGTCTCCAGGCCTTTCCCCCAAAGAAGGCCACGTTTATTCCTCCTACACTTGCAATAGCAGCCAGCCTGTGGGTGTCTGTTTGCCAGCGGCAGAGGCACGTTGGTGATGTGGAACTTCAATATCCCCCAGTCCTGCCCGGGTGGCCCATTCTGCTAGAGGCTCTCATTATTATTTCATGGCTCCGTGTGTCGCGGCTGCTAACTGGACCTTGTATCTGAAGCAGGGACGTGTTCATCTGCACCTTGAGAGTTGATCTGTGCTCAAAGGACAGTGCTCAGGAAGGGTGGGCTCATTGACTCCCCAACAAGGTGGGCAAACAGAGCTCTGGGGCTGGAGACTGGGAGCCCTGTGCCCTCCGTGCCAGGGCTCTTGCTGCTGCCACTGACATTTAACTCCCCCCAGGGAAAATAACAGCAATGTACGCCCCTTGAAGCAGTGTTGCTAGCTAGCCTGTGCAGGTTGATGTAGAAGTCTGGCGGCTTCTGTTTCCCATGGCAACAGCTCAGCCCTTCATTAAAAGCAGGTAAACGTGGGCTCAGGCTGATTGGCAGACTGCATGGCTCTGCACGGCTCTGGGCTTGGACCGGGGTTGCTCATCACCCGCCCTGTTCTTTCCCTTGTTCCCTCCCAACCAGCCATACAGAAACTGCTCTAACCTCAGGAAAGAGAGATGGGGCCCTTGGTGACACTCTGCTGCAGACTCCAGCTGCAGCATTCCCACCTGAGGGGTGGTACAAACTGTAGTTTAGGGATAAAAGCGTGAAAGTGGTAATTACTCTTGGGATATTGCCGTTGGCGAAAGTGAGAAACCAGTTACTTTGTCCTGGCTGGGGAAACAAGGACATTGAGTCAGGAATAAACATTACTGACCATGGGGGCAAAATAAAGAGAAATTACAGGTTAAAGGGATGAGATAAACTGCTAGAAGCTGCCAGAAAAAATGATGGAGAGACAGAGGAAGGGACTCAATCCAGTTAGCACAAAAGAGGGGAATAAAATAGAGTTGGAGATCTTTGGGCAAATATAAATATTCCCAAGGCATAGAGAAAAACCTTCATGCCTGAGACTGGAAATTGGCTTACAGCATGATTTAAAAATGTCCCAAGGGATGAAAAAGGGGGAAGGTAGTTTAGGGGAGTGGAGAAGAGGATGTCTGAGGGGGTGATGGGGGGGCTGAGCAGAGAGGAGGGAGGGGCTGTGTGAGCATCACTTGATGATCAAGGGTGGCAAATGGACAAGCCGTGGCCAAAATCAGCCAGTCAAAGTATTTCAAAACAATTTGAGCCAACTGTTTTTTTTTTTTAAATCAGAAGATGTCATCCAAAAAAATACAGATTTCTGATTTGAATAAAAACCCAGAAAGTCTGACAACTGGGTTTATAGAGAGCCTAAGTCTGCTGGGTTGGGAGCTGCTGCCCCTGCAACTTACCGGGAGCATGGGCTCTCCAGCCCCCCGGAGACCCATTGCGCATCATCCCACACCCCACGCCCCCAAGGAGCAGCTGTTTCTCCTTATTTCCTTATTTCTTCACTCTTTTGGGTGCTTGTCTGACCTCTGCAAGCATTTGAAATGCTGAGTGCTGCCTGCACTGCTCTGACGTGCCAGCACAGAACAAGCCCTGACTCTGACCCCTGCTCAACAGACAAGGTGGGACCAACACTGAATGCACCTCTTGTCCCTGGACTCTGGGAGAGCCAGGACCTCAGACCAGTATGGGCCTGAGCCCAGGGTGCCCTAGTTTCAGGGATGAGCAAGGGGGAGCCCAACGCTGGTTGTAGCAGTCTCTAAATAAAACATGGGTGTTCATGAGTGGCACGACACAGCTGAGTGAGCATCTGGCTTTGGAAAGGAGATCTGCAGTCAGCTCTAGAAGACTCGGTGAGGCTGTGCTGGCAGAGGAGAGGGGAATATAAGCTGCGGTTGACAATGCAGGAGAGCTCATACCCACATTGTTGAATCCGCATTTCAGGATGTGTGTGTGATTGGGATCCTGGGAACACATTTCAACCAAATGTAGAAGCTACTCTTTGAAGATCATGTTAAAGGGGTGCTGAAGAGCTGCCCATCCTGACCCCACAGTGTCACTTAAACATGAGTTAGAATCCTAGCTCTTCCACTTCTTAGCTGCTTTACCTTGAGCAAGTTATTTAACTTCTCTGAGCCTCAGTTTCCTCATCTAAAAAGTTATACGCACAATAGTACGGGGTTGCCATGAAGGTTAGAAATCATGTATGTCAGATGCTACGACAGTGGCCAAGCACGTAGTAACAAATTGACAGCTATCTTCTATTATTAGTAGTATTTCAATAAGTCTCAGACATTGGCACAAGCTGCAGTTTATTCGCTAATTATGTGTTCTGTGATGACAGAAGGCAAAATGGGTTTTGTTATGGACTGAAAGTATGTGTCCTCTGCTAGTTCATACGTTGAAGCCCCAGCCCCCAATGTGGTTGTATTAGGAAATGGGATCTCTAAGGAAGTAATTAAGATTAAGTGAGGTCATGAGCCTGTCTTTCCAAGAAGAGGAAAAGGTAAATGCTTCACAATTGCTGAAGAGAGAAAGAGCTTGGTGGTCTGAGTGGTGGGTGAAATGGTTTTAGGTAACCTGTTGGAAAGGCCTTTGTACTTCATTAACAGTAATATGGCATGGAAAAGAAAAAAAAAAGAGA